ATTTATGATACAGTACGAAAAAGACATTTTACACACATTTATAAAAACTATTATTGAATTTTGATAAAGCAAAATGTGCATTTCGCACTTGCTGGAGACTAGCTTCAGCACAAACTATAATAATAATAAAAGCAAGCAAACCGTTTTTTTATTGCTTAATAAAAGATTTTGCAAACCGGAAATGGTTTTTTTCTCACACCTACCTTGAGTCGACAACAATTATTGGCACCTATTTTGAGTCAACGCCTACCTTGAGTCGACACCTACCTTGAGTCGACACCTACCTTGAGTCGACACCTACCTTGAGTCGATACATCGACACTATCTTTGGCTTTAAGTACTAACATATATTTTGCAAAAAAGTAGTTTTTTTTTTTTTGTTTTTTTAATACTTTGTGTATAAACAACATCGTCATGCACTTCTATTACAATACATAGAAAAATACATATTTACTTTTATGAACTTAGTGGTTTTATTACGTTAACATATGAGAATACTTTTTTTTACGTAGCAGCTGTTAAAAGCGTTATAAATAATACAAGGAAATTTAACAAGACAACGCAAAATTTTATTTGTAAACAAATTTAATTTGCTAAATAAAACATGAATCATTACTAATACTATTAAAACCACTCGTCATTATAATACCAATGTAGTATTTTTGAATGTACAATGAGTATAAACTCATCAAATTTATAAAACTCATCAAATTTATAAAACACACATTTCCCTTTTTTTATCTTTTGTTAAGTTGTATTTAATTATGCATCTTTCTTAACTTTTTTTATTCTTTTATTTTCTTTATTGTTTTTTTTTCATTTATTTTCTTTATTGTTTCTATTATTATACACATTCAAAAATATAAGACAAAAGCTTGTGGAAGACAAAAATATAAGACAAAAGCTTGTGGCTCAAAAGAAAGACTTCAATATACAGACTTCAGAATAAAGCGAGCAAGATGTTTGGAATTCCTTATCAGACGCTTTGTGAGAAAATATCTGGAAAAACTTTTTTGAGCTGAACACTTTGAAAATAAGTTAGTCAAGTGGTTACTAACATGCTCCAGAAAGAGATTTGCTATTTCTGTAGTACAGCTATTAGGTGCTGTGCCAAAATATTTGAATTTCAACAATATAAAAACACAATTTACTAACAACCGTTCCGCAAAACGTTAGTTTTATGCATTTCTTTGCTAAAGGTGTATGTGGGCTCTCTAAAAGAACATTAAATTTTAGAATAAAAATGCTAAAAAGTTATAAAAAATTAATGCTTTCTATTTCCACATTCGAACCTGGTTGAATGTTTTAAACATTATCTTTTTAATCAGGGTCGAAGAAAGCTTTTATTTATCTTTTCAATCAGAAAACAAAAAGCTTTTATTTGTGTTTAATTCATTTCATTTTACATTCACACTCTTTAATTTTTTATTATTTATGTTTTTTAAACTTTTTAAACATTTTTGTACTTATAAGATTGACAAGTGCTTGAATAATATTTTCAATTAGTTTGTTTGAATTTATTATACAAAAAAGTTATCTAATAGTTGACATCTTTATAAAAATAAATCTCGTATTGGCAATAGTTCTATAAATTCTGTTGTTGTTTGTAGTTGTTTATTGTTTATAATTATTGCTCAATCAAAAAAACAAAATGTTTAAGAAGCATTTCTTGTCTTTTTATTATATTTCAAAAATTGCCCCAAGTTCCCCAAAATTATCTCTCCTTGTGGTGCAGCTTTGGATAAAACAAAAGCAACTACTATTTACTTGAACTAACTGAACACTGCTTTTTTTAAGGAACTGATAACTTAAATTATTTTGCAAAAGCTTTTTATCAACTTTTTATCAACTCTACAGAATCAATCGTTTCTTTTTTTAAAAAGTGTCCTTAGATAGAGTAGATTAGGGTAATATGAGCATCTTGGTAATATGAGCATACTTAAAGAATTCTTAGATGAAAGCAGTGAAGTTAAAGTTGCTTTTTATTTTTTGAATCAACTTTATGCGGTAATAGCGGGAATTAGTACAGTTAGCGTAAATCTATAGACATTAATTAGCCGCTATCATCGAATTAAAATGCTGTTAAACTTAATGCGTTGTTAAAACAAAACCATCATGCAATCTGTGGCGCGAGGTTTTGGTACTATAATAATAAAACTATTTTTTCATAAAGAAAAATATGTTAGCTAAAATCCAATCCATTTTTTTTTGAAAAAAAATGCATAGAAAAATTTAGCTTTGACTTTATTTAAACATGCCATTTTTTTGTAATATAAGCATGCTTAAGTTACCCAAGTATTTTTAATTGAAATTAATTTGTTTAAAGTCCCTAAAATAGCAGTGGTTTTAATTGCTTTTTGAATAAAAACAAAACATAATAAAAAATTATAATATGTTAACAGTAGTAAATATGTTTCAGTAATTTAAATCTAAAAAACTTGAATTTTTATCGTTCTAAATTAATAAAATTGAAATAATAACAAACTATTTTGTTTTTTTTTTCTTGCCGCAAACATAGTAGTATTGTTTTAACAAAAATTGGCGTAACCCTTGATCTTTTAACTATAAGTTTTGCTAATAACAAATTATTATATTCCAAAAATTAGTTCTAATAGTCAGGTTGGTATTTTTTTACTTAATTAATGTTATTTTTTAGCTCATATTGTAGTGGTCTTGGTAATATGAGCACTTTTGCTATTTTTTTAAAACCTCCGCGTTTTAAAGAAAAAATATTGGGTGTCCAAATATCTAAGTGGATCATGAGTAGGAATCCCGAAAAAATATTTAATCGTAAAAATTTTGGATCCAGCATGATTATTTTTGAAAATATTCCATTTTTCGCTTAAGGTGCTCATATTACCGTAATCTACCGTATATATCAAGAGGAGAGGAAGCATTTTAGGATAATGTGAAAGTTTTAAAAAATATAGATTTATTACTCAAGTTAAATATCATAGTCGATTGGAAATTACATTTAGCTTTTTGTTTTTCTAAATTTTTTAAACGTAAAAGTTTGCAAAGTAAAGAACTTCTTTAAGGATTTTTTTTGTTTATATTTTTAGTGAAAGAAATATGTATTACAATATAAACAAAAAGTTGAATTATAAAATAAATAATTTTTACAAAAATTCTGTGAAATATATTCTGAAATCCGGGTTAAAAAAGTATTTGACAATGGGCACATTTGGACGCATTCAGACGTACTGATTCGTTTCTTAACAATCTTATGGGCAAACAAAGTTGTTAAAAATTACAAAAATTAAACAAAGTTTGAAAATAGTGCGCAACAATAAAAATAAATGTTAAAAAAATATAAACAAAGAAAGTTTAAAAATTTCAATAAAACATGTTTTTAATAAAATAATTAAACTAAGGGTTGCCGCGTGTATTTGGTTTCTGTAGCAACACATTGGCCTACAGAATAAAAACCCTCAAAAATAATAAAAAAACAGTGATTACTTTTTCAACAAGTGTTCTATTTTGACATTTAAACTTAGTTAAATGTTCTGAACTTTATTTTTTAACTGGATCACAAGAAAACTTTTATTCATATTTATCTTAATCCGTTTATTAAAATGGATTTCAAGATTAAATAGGTTTTATAAAACGGATTTCAGGATTAAATAGGCTTTATAAAACGGATTTCAGGATTAAATCGGTTTTATAAAACGGATTTCAGGATTAAATAGGTTTTATAAAATAGATCTCAGGATTAAATGGGTTTTATAAAATGGGTTTCATGATTAAATGGGTTTTATAAAATGAATTTCAGGATTAAATTATTTAACATAAAAAGACTTAAATTTAGTTCACACTTTTTACTTTTTTTTAAATTTAAAAATATTACTTTTGTATTTATAATATTAATAAGTGATTGAATAATACTTTTATTTTAGTTTGTTTGAATATAATATACAAAAAAGATACTTAATGGTTTAAGGTCTTTATAAGAATAATTCTGTTATTTTTAATAATTCTCTTAATTCTGCTGTTGCTTTTAATTACTATAATTACTTATTATTATTTCTAAATACTGCTACATAAAAAATTAAACTCAAAGAAACATTTCTTGTCTTTTTATTATATTTCCTAAACTAAACAAACTAAACTAAACTAAACTAAACTTAACTAAACTAAACTCAGCTAAACTAAACTAAACTAAACTAAACTAAACTAAACTAAACTAAACTGTCCCAATATTTTCCTAAACTACCTCTTATTTTGAGGTAATGATATTTCAATAATGAAAAAACCTTCGTTTTTTAGAAAGCAAATATAAATAGAAAGCAAATATAATTTGTTTAAACTAGCCGGGCTTCGTTTTTTCTTTAAAGGAATAATATTTAAATTTTCTTATATAGCAAAAAATTCAACTTTTTGTCAAACAAAAGAGCTGCAGTAGAGGCTTTTTCAAAAAGTGTCCTAGTTTGCCCTTTTCTCGTCTAAATACAAAATACAAAATTAACTAATATTTCAAAATCAAATTTATAAAACACACATTTCCCTTTTTTTATCTTTTGTTAAGTTGTATTTATTTATGCATCTTTCTTAACTTTTTTTATTCTTTTATTTTCTTTATTGTTTTTTTTTTTATTTATTTATTATTTTTTTTTTTTTTTATTTTTTTTTTTTAATTGTTTCTATTATTATTTTTCTTTAATACTTTCTATAATACATGCCCATAAAATTGGTTTTGAGATCTTTTTTATTTTTTCATTAGTGCAACAAGATTGTCCTATTTTTAAGTGCAACATTTAAAACTTTTCTATTTGGTAAGTTTTAAATGTTGAGATTTATTTTATTTTATAATTATAAAAAAATTTCTAATTTTTTTTTTTTTGGGGAAGTTTTTCTGACAGTGAGTCTTTAAATTGTAAAATTGCGAGTTTTTAAATTTTCTTTTTATGAAGTTTGATTAAATAGCAACTAATGAATTCAAAGAAAAATTGGAATATAATAGCTGCATAAAAAATTCAATTGGCTATATAAAATGTGTTTTTTGGAAAAAAAAATAAAAAAGGTTAGTGCTCAAAATTCAATGGATAAAGTTTATTTAATAGTTAATAATATAAACTGCATTAGCTAAAGAACCACCTTTACCATCTGCATTACAATTATTTGCGTTTCCATAAATTTTGTAAGAACTGCTGTTTCCAGCAAAGCATTGTCCACTGTCCTGAATTGCAAAATATTCAAAGTTAAGATCAAATGCTGCATTATAACATTTTGTAATAGCATTTGAACGGTATTTATATAAACCGCTAAGACCTGAATTTAAACCTTCTAAAGATTTTGCTGCTCTGTAAGGCGAACTGTCTTTCCAACAACCTCCATAATTATATAACAATTTTTCAGTAACTAAATATACTTGATTGGATGTTACTCCTCCTTTTCCATCCTTTTTACAGGTATTTGAAAGGCCATTTTTTTTGTACAAATCATCGATGCTAGCAGAACAATAGCCTCCATCTTGAACGGCAAATATTGGAAAACCTCGTTCTTTGGCAGCTAGATAACACATTTCAATAGAATTTAAACGACTTTGATAATATCCAATCAATACTGATGATGATCCTTCAAGCGGTACCATAGCTTTATTTAAATCGTCTTTCCAACATCCCAAGTTGTTCAGATGTAAAGAGATCTTAAATACAGAAATAAAAATAAGTTTGTTAAATAAATTTTTAAATCTTTATTTTATCATGGAAGTATAAATTTTCACAAATTTCACAAAAACATACTTGACATAGAAATTCCGTTATTTATTTGTCATAAAAAATATTATTAAAAAAAATGTTTCGATTTGTTTGTGTCAATAAGTCATACGTAAGGCCCCTAAGACTTTAACTCCAAAGGATCCTTATCAAAATGCACTAAAAAATTATAATATACACTTATTAGTTTTAAATTTATAATCAACAAATAAATTTACCTTCTGCTCTGACTGACTTGTAGAAAGAGAGAGAGAGAGAGAGAGAGAGAGAGAGAGAGAGAGAGTTGTTTCATTACGATCAGAATTAGGTATTTTTATTGTCATACTACCACAAGAAAGATTGACATCCAAGGTTATGGAACTCCTACCTTGATTAGGTTTTTACCAACTATAAATTATAAGTATTATATATATATATATATATATATATATATATATATATATATATATATATATATATATATATATATATATATATATATATATATATATATATCAGGCGCGGAAGCAGTATTTTATGATGTTTGATATACCTTATTTCCAGACATTGAACAAACTCCGAATATTTATGTTTATTTTTATATCAAATAAAGATGCTTTGAAAAAAAGACTTGAAAAAAAGACTTGAAAAAAACATTTTAGCTACACCTGCCCAAAATGTAAGAGCAAGAAGTTGATAAAAATTATTTTTTATACTATTCTTAACTAAATCTATATTAGTCGATAAATTTTAAAATTCAAACAAATATATTTTAGTATTCAAAAATTATGACCATAAAAAGTTTGAACTTTCATCAATTTGAGGGGGTTGCAAATTGAATAAGGCCATAATTGTTGAAAGCTAAGAGATTATTGCGTGAGTTTTAAAATTTATTGATGAATATAAACTAGGTTGAAAATAGTAAAAAACGTATTTTATCATTACATGTAAAGATTGTTTGATATTTATTTGAAAATGTTACCATCCTTAAACTCATAAAAATTAAACTTTCAATGATATTATGACTAAAAGCAACAAAACCAGGAAACTAAGGTTCAAAAAACTATTTAGAATTTATATTAAAAATATTTTATATATGAAGAAAAATAGTCCTCTCTTGTATCTATTTGAGATTATATATATATATATATATATATATATATATATATATATATATATATATATATATATATATATATATATATATATATATATATATATATATATATATATATATATATATATATATATATATATATATATATATATATATATATATATATATATATATATATATATATATATATATATTATATATATATATATATATATATATATATATATATATATATAGGACTGCTCCAAACTCATTTGGGTCAAGATTAAATTACGACACTATACACCAAAGTGAATACGTGTCAAATAAAAGTTTTTGATTTCTTACTTTACAGAAAATGTAAATATGCTAAGAGCAGACATAAAACCAATGATTTATTGCTTATAATGCAAGCGATCTAACCACTACACATATAAAGATACCCCCATGCACCTAATAAGAGGTAGGGACAGCAAATTAGGGAGCTTTTTTCAAATTATCGAGGTCCTTAAACCAGATTTGAGCAACTAATAATCTAATACCTAGTAGTGAAATGTTTTTTAAAATTTTGGTGTCCTAATGACAGGTTTTAAAAATACATTTTTTATATATCGAGTGGTGCCTAAGAAAAAAAGTCACCCAGTTTCACACCTGATTATGCGCTAGGTCCCATATACAATTTCATTGTTATCAGAGGTTCTATAAAAAATTCTAATATTTAAATAATATCACCATAAGAGGTTCTATAAAAAGCATCTTAGGTGCTTGTTTACACTGTAACAAAAGTAAAACAAACAAAAATATAAGACTGCAAAATAAACTTTTTTATTTATTATTTTAACAATGAATTTCTCAATTAACTGATTAATATTTTATGCCATTCAATGTTTTTAAAAAGCTTTGTGGCTATGAAAATAGCCGTTTTTTATGCAAAATCATTTATTTGTTTTCAGCAGTACAAGGAGACATAAGAGAATTTTTTAATTATTAAATCACTTGAAAAGTCAACTTTTTTATCAACAGATTTTTCAGAGTAAGTCCATTTTCTGCGTGATATACGTGTCATACTCTCCTTCATTGACATTTTGTTTGATTCATTAGGATTCAGACAGTTACCTGCAATATGTGTTGTGAAATATATGTTGATAGTATTATCATTGAATCCAAAATAAAACAAGGAAGGATTATCTTTTCTTCTACCTTTGTTAAATTGTTTTGAAATTATAGACAACAGCTCCGGAAAACACTGTACAAGACTATAACAGGTATGTTGTCTAGACAACAAACTTTAGACGAGTATGAGCCGAAAATCACTTTATATAGAGAAGCTGGAGTGATACGAAGGTCAAGCAATAAATCAACCTCTTTGTCGGCAATATCAGGTAGAACGCATTTTGTTAAATCAAGAAATGATACTGTTAAAAAAGTTCTCAGAAAACAATTCAGCTTTGTTTTTAGGTGAGGGGAAAAATCATATAAGAGAGGCAAAAATAACAGATTTACCATTATTATTGATAGGTTAAAAATTCTGCAGAAGTCAATTGTGTCTAATTTATAAGATAATATACGAGTTTTCATGTCCTGAGAATAGTAAGCTTCAGCATTAGACAAAACTTTTTTACAATGATTTTTAGCAAAAGTAAACAGACATCTGTTTTTCAGGAAAATTATTTCGGCAATAGGTATGGAAGTAATGGTTTTGATTGGAAAATGCAGCAGCACAACATGAGGGAAACCATAAAGAATAGTGACGCTTGACTAGGAATTGTCGAGAGGGATTAAAGGATTTCATGCCAGTTTGAATCCTTAAATTTATGTAAAAACAACATTTGTCATTAGGACGACCAAAGATTTTTTCCCAAGGGCCATCACGAAGATAATCACGGAAAGTGTTCCAGTCTGCTTTAAGATAGTTGTAAGAAGTACTATGAATAATGATGATGAAAAAAAATGAGATAATAGTTTTAGATAGATCAACTAGAGGCACCTAAGGGTAAATGTGGAAAAACTAAGCAATGACTAGGATCAGAAACAAGATATAAGTCGATTAGAGAAGGTAAATGATTCGGATTGTCTGGAAAGCAAGTTGGAATGTTGACTATTTGAGTTAAGGATTGAGAAAGGCAAATGTTGTGGGCTTTAATGCCTGCAGAATCACTAACACTAGAGTTTCATTCAGTGTGATGAACATTAAACTCACCGACAACAACATTACTGGCTGATGGATAGAGAGAGAGGGCTAGGTCAATATGATCAGAAGTAACATCAAGAAGAGTGCAGTCTTGAATGAGAACGATATAGAACAAAAAGAAAGATGATAGAGTGAAGTGGTGCAAAAAGAAAGCACATAAAAGAGTAGTCTGTGGATTCAAACCTAGTTTCCCGAAAAATAGGTGAATTCTTACGAATGTAATTGCCCAGGCCAAGCATGTGATTATTGGAGCCCTAACGAATTAAAAGAAGATAACCATCAACACTAAGATCACAAGACTAGACAGCCAAACTCAAATTTGAGTTAGGCTGTCTTAGTCTAGTCTTTTTAGGTTTAGAGTACTTGGTGATGGCGATGGTTTTTTTTTACTTTATAGTTTTTGGTACTAAAGTCATTTTATAATTACTAGTCAATTACACGTATTTCTTTGTAATTTTGATTTTGCTTAATAAATTTTTCAATTGGTTTTGTAATATCTTTAAGATTGTGGCTAGAGATCGACGAAATTTCGACTTCGGTACTTTTTATAAACTTTGGCAAAAACCGATATTTTGATTAAAAAACATACTGAAACTGAAAAATTTGTAAGATTTTAAATTTTTATCTAACTTAAGAAAACAGTTATTTTTTAGATTTTTTACAAATTATTTTGAAAATTTTCTCAAAAATTTTTACAATATACCTCAAAAAATCTCGATTTGCAAAGAAAATCTGCCATTTGTTAACTTTCACTATTAGTTTACATTGCTTATGAATTAAATCTCAATTTGAGATACACGTGTAATCAATTCATTCATAATAGGATTATAAAATAACAATAAGTGTAAATTTTCATTTTTAAATAAATATTGACAAACCTAAATATTGACTAAATAACTGAAAAGATGTAAAATCCACACAAGTATGATTTTGAGTCTTTAAGTTCTAGGTTTTAAAAATCAGGTTGTTTTTTTATATATAGCTCACTTATGTATGCAAAATATGTATGCAAAATTTTTAATAATTTTTAAAAAATTATATTATATCTAATATTCTTAAGTAATTCTTTAATGTAAGTCTTTATAAAATATTTGAGAGTGCATTTTTTCTGTACTTTAATATCAATTTTAGAACAATTGGCCAAAGATACAACAAACATTTGCATATAAGAAAGTCCTAGTAGTACAGTGCAATAAGTTCCTAATGCAAGTTTTTTTAAGAGTTTGTAGTTTGTCCGCTGGATTAAATCAAAATTTTATCCTGAATAAATACAGACAAATACTTTTTAATATTTTAAAAAATACTTATTAATTTTTAACAATTTTATTAACTAGAAGTGAAACATTTTTCAACAAATTAAATAATGCTTCCCGTAAAGCATTCCTGGACTTTATTGTTATAATGAACTGTTACCAAGATTTATGCCTATAGGTGGAACACGTATTTTAATAAACATGGTCTTGCATTTTTCAAAAGATGTTATGGTGTTTAATTAAATGAATTCAGTAACAACTTTTCATTAGTACTTTACTCTATTCTAATTTTTCTTTTCTTTTATAAAAGGTTTTCAATTTGCAATATTTATAGAATTACCATGCCTAAAGTCTTAAATCAAAATAGGCTTTCAATATGCAATATTTATAGAATTTCCATGCCTAAAGTCT